AGGCCCCGCGGAGGAAGAACAGATGATAAGAGAGAGTCTTGGAGTTCTGCCAGGAGGTGCTTCATGGTCACCGAAGGGAGGACCCGACTCTCCTTTCCTCTCGCCTCGCTATATCGTTTCTGCCAGTGTGAATGAGAACTAAGGCGGCTTACGATAGAGGAACAGTTCCTAAGTACTTAGGAAACGTGGGGCAAAGCTTTGCCACCTTGCAAAGGAGGAAAACAGAAGTCAAGACGATGATAGGAAAAGAACAAGGTGAAGCAGTAGAAACCTCAGCAGGGAGAAGGCCAGCAACACCAAGACATGACCAAGGAAGCCCCCCCAAACACCAGACTGTTCCCTGGCTGGCAGGGGGTGCCATTCCAAAGATGACCTCCACAGAAGGCGTAGTTGTGGGGAGGCCTCTTCCGCCAGACTGCATTACATTTGGGCATCGTGTACACACCACTGTGGTGTGCTTCAACTTCCGCTAAAACAGAAAAGGCTCCATTCACATAAATGATTTATAATTAAGACCTTTCAGCCAGGCAGCCACTCCTCCCCTCCCTCTCCGGGCTTTTCCATCAAGCTCCACGATCTTGATCAAGCCTACATTCGAAAAATCAAGTTGGGATTTCGTCCCAACTGGATGAGACCACAGCATACTTTCAATTGTTCTCGTATGAACTTCATGGGAGATTTTCTTTCCCTTTTTCAAGATTCCTCAATTCTGAGTTTCATACCTTCCTTCTCTCCCCTTCACTGGTTATATCAGGTTTGTTTTTTTTTTTTTTCTCTAATGGATTAAGTTGATTTATTCTAAAGTCTTCCAGTAAAATTATTCACTCTCCTGTGAGCTCTAGAAGTTATCTTTCTGGGTTAACGAATTTACAGTGTAACTGTCTTATTTCAATAAGTCACTTGTATTTGCTGCTATCCCCATGAACAGATAGTTTTAACAGACAAAAACATTCCTAAGCAAAGTAAATGGAGGCCACAGGCTGAGGAAAGGAGAGCACACTCCTAAGGGAGGCACCTGGGAGGTCTGGGAGGAGCCGCGTGCTTCCCATTGGCTGTGGTTTTTTTTCTGCTTACAGGTACCACCAAAGCTAGCAAGGTTGGCTGTATTCATCAAACCAGTAGGGTGGCTGAGAGACATTTACCTGTTGATTCGATTGCTCTACAGCTGTTGAAATGGCCTTCTAAGCAGGATCATTAACTACCCTAGATAGCTAGAGAGCTGGGACTCCCCTAAAAATGAAACAGTCAAATCCCGAGGATTCAGAGAACCCCATTCCCCCTAAGTCCACATGATGTATGGCTTGTGCCCTTTCAGACACACTGGGGAGGAAGGAAGCTGTTCATGACAAATCAAACTGTATTTTCTGAGTGTCAGAGAATGGTACATTCCTGCAGTGTTTAACAGTATTATTTATGATCTTTACAGGGACAAGAACGGGGCAGTGAAATTTGCTTTTCTAGTTGAAGAATTTGAGGCTCAGAAACATAACTTTCTTCTTCTTCTTCTTCTTCTTCTTCTTCTTCTTCTTCTTCTTCTTCTTCTTCTTCTTCTTCT